GCACCAGCTTTTGTCACCATTTGGGAAGTGAACCAGCTGATGGAAGATCTCTGCTTGTCCTTCTCTCTCTGTAAATCTGTTTTTGAAATAAAAAATAAACATTTAAAAATGAAACTATTGGAGAGGCAGGAAAAAAAGAGGATGAATTAGATGTCAGAGAGCATGCTCCTTCCTGTTTGCTGGTTAACTCCTCAAATGCTGGCAGTATTCAAGAGCCATAAGCCCTTAGGCTAGCATTTGCTGCCTCCTAGAGTATGCCTCCCAACAAAGCTGAGATTTGGAGCAGAGTCAGAAATCAAGCCCAAGGTTTTGGGCCATCTTCCACCTCTTTCCCAGGCCTGCGAGAAGACTGGGAAGTGGAGCAGCCAGGACACAAGCAGCACGCATATGCAACTGCAGCACATGCAAGGTGAGGATTTAGCCACTGATCCATTTCATGTGGCACCTGCACCCACGTGAAAGAGGGAAGGGGCTCCTTAGCTTTGGGTCAGCAGAGCTCCAGGCTTTGTTGCAATTTGAGAAGAGAAACAACAAATGAAAGATCTTTCTCTCTGATCCTCTTTCTTTCATAAGTCTGATCTCCTGTCCAATAAAAATAAGTGAATCTTGTCTTAAAAAACATCAAATCCAGGCACTGTAATAGGGGATTAATGCAAGCATCCCAAGATGTGTTTTAACTGCTAGGCCAAATGCCCTTTCCAATATTTCTACTTTCATTACCAAATATAATCGGCACCAATTGTTAGACTGAACACCATAACTTGGTCAATATTCTACAAATTATGATCATAGAAACAGTAGTTCTATAGAGTAACATCGCACATATTTCAATACTATACTAATTACTAGAAAAAATGGTTGCTATTATAGCTTAGGGGAACAGCTTGGTCTTCATCTCCAAACATAGCTACTTCAAAATTCTCCTTAAGAGCTTTCAAATAGAAATACAATGTGGGGCCTAGCGCGATGGTGTAGGGGTTAAGGTCCTTGCCTTGCACGCCCAGGGATCCCATATGGGTGCCGGTTCTAATCCCGGCAGCTCCACTTCCCATCCAGCTCCCTGCCTGTGGCCCGGGAAAGCAGTCGAGGACAGCCCAAAGCTTTGGGACCCTGCACCCGCGTGGGAGACCTGGAAGAGGCTCCTGGCTTCAGATTGGCTCAGCTCCAGCTGTTGTGGCTGCTTGGGGAGTGGATTGTCGGATGGAAGATCTTCCTCTCTGTCTCTCCTCTCTGTATATCCGCCTTTCCAATAAAAATAAAATAAATCTTTAAAAAAAAAGAAATATAATGTGCAGAAGTGAGCTATGTATGTAATTTAAAATGTTCTAGGAGCCATGCTAAATAAATGTAGAAAACAAGTGAAACTTAATTGTAATAATGTACTTTATTTAACCCCACATACCCAAATCGTATCATATAAACATATAATCAATATAAAAATATTTGTGAGACATGATACATTTTACATCCTCTTTGTCACTTAGTCTTTGAAAACATGCTGTGCGATTTACAAATCTGGCATATCTCAGTTCAATTAGATATATTCCTATTGTTTAGCCCCACATGGCTAGTTTACTAGAAAATGAAATTCCAGAGTCTCCACTTACACATGGAGTGGTCTTGGATAAGTGATTTAACCATCTGAGTCAGCTTGCCTTTCTGTCAAACAGTTATATAAACACATCTGCTTATAAGATTAAATGTGAGCTTGAATAAGTTAATAGACTGTCTCTAAGCACTTAATATAGTAGTTACCATTATCACATAAGCAAGCAGGTTATCCAAGTAGTCACTTTGTATCTTTTATTTTGAATTTTAGTTGTGGGATTCAAAGAAAGCTTAAAATGAACATTTTCCCTTTGAAACAATTTTTGACCAATCATAAAACCGAAAGGTTAGTATGAATACAAGAGCTCCTCAAGAATTATTGATGGCTGGATCAATCGGTCAATGTATAAGAATCTAGAGCTTTTATACTTCTAGTATTAGAGAGAGAAATATGGATATGTGCTAAGGTTAAGACAGGAAATAAAAAAAGCACAATAGGATTGCCAGGAAACAAAAATTAGAAAAATCTGAGAAATACTGTGCAATTACCATTCATTGATTGCCAACTACAGACCAAACATGAGAAATTAGCTTTTATATGTTGATTCGTTCAACAACATAGACACAAAATCAAGCACGTATTGATTTGTAAAAGGCATTCTCATGCTGCGGACACAGAGGTAGAGGCTAAGAGCAGGTGACACATTCTCCAGGGAGTCATTAGCTAGACATGACGTGGGATGAGATGACAGGCCTACCACTGACGACTCCACCCAGAAGCAGGAACTAAGTGTTTTACAGTCTAAACACGTCCTCTGTCTACAGGTTAAGTATCTGAAACCAAATGGAGAGCAGGTTGTAGAAAAGGGACCACTTTCTACCCTCTTCTACATTGAATTGATGTGTATACAACACAACAGACACAAACTAACTCTTACATTAGGCAAAGCATGACAACCAGGCTGGGTCACAGCTACTTTATTTATTTACTTTTTGAATGTTTACTAACTTGGTTTATTAAGAGACTGGCAACAAAGCTGAGAAGTCTGGTATTTTAGATTATAACAAAGGAAATTTGAGGGAATAGTGTTTTCTTTCTTTCTTTCTTTCTTTCTTTCTTTCTTTCTTTCTTTCTTTCTTTCTTTCTGTGCAGTGCTGTGGGTGAAACTAAGAGAAGAGTAACTGTTCCCAAATAACCAACCCCAAAAAGCACGTGGCTCTTGTTATATTTGGCTGGCTCCACCACTATCCAAGTTCCAAGGCTACAGGGGATACTGTCTAGACCAGTTCTTTTGGCCCTAGGGTTGGCAGGACATTGGACCAGAAAGCCAAATCATGGTGTAAATAGCTCTCTGCATTTGTTCTGATAGACAGTCAAGCTGGATAGAAACGAACTCTCAAATAATTACCAAGCAACAATAAATAAGAGAATAAAAAGATTTCACAGGGTTTTCTTTGGTCTGGCATAGACACATACTGGCTCTCACACTATAAAGTCTGACATTTGGGGGGTGCTTATCCTTTAAGAAAAAGCCGCAAGAGTAATCTGAAAGATGGGCTGCTCCTTTTAGTGACTCTAATGTCTTCTCGTTGTGATGGTGGTATCATGAGAGGAAAAACACACCCACGTAGAATTGAAATAATTTATTTACCACTAGAGCACCACAAAAACAGACAAACATCGTGTTAAAATACAGCGTAATTGGTCATCAAAATACAAAACAGCTCTTCTTATATTCCATTTTTTAAAAAATGATGCCAACCATAAAATGGTACTGCTTAACACAGAAAAACTGCCTGCCCCACCCACATACTAACATGTCCCCCATTCCATACCACCTCCCACCCCTCCCATGGCAATGTTTACTTATGGGGAATAAAGACCTTGTAGAACCCCCAAATTAAAAAAAAAAAAAGATTCAAGAGATTGTAAAATATAGCATTTAAAATATTATCAGTGCATTCATAAAGAAAAACAAAATAATACAAAACAAAATGTCATCCTATCTGAGAGGAAACGACCTGCAGAAGGAAAACTGTGATGTGCCTAGAGTTAATAGGGAAGTGAAGAGGGAAAAAGAAATCAACACACGCTCCAGTCCCGGATGGTGTTACATCCAGCACAAGAGTTGTTGAGTAGCACGGCATCCCATCTGTTATTTTTCCAGTTCTCAAACTTGCAAATCCAATTCTGCATTTTAGTTAATGGTCAGAAATTTCCAAAATAGTTTACCACACTAGATGATCTGGCTTTAGAGTCACACAACACTATGCTGCCCTTCACACCAACTGAAATTACCCCCTTATCTAGCCTATCAACTTGGATCTTCAAACTAAATGAGTTACAAGTGACAAACAGCTCCTACAAACCCTGTCAGGAGGATGCCTCCTCTACAATGATGTGGCAAATTATTTATTAAAGCAAGGTAAACTCTAACCTCATACTTCTAATTCAGAGGAGAGAAAGAATTTTCTGATTCTGGGAGAATTTAGGCTACACTTTTCTGCCTTCAAAGATCATCTAGAAAAATCTTAACTTCAGTGAAATAAATAAAATGACTTATGCTGACCTGGAGTTTTTTCCACACATTAAAAAAAAAAAAAGTCAAGAAAAACGTTTATATTTCAATTTCCCCCTGAACACTAAGACCTAGAAAAAAACATGTCTCTTAAGAGTTTGCTTTTTTAAAATCAATATAAATCTGTGAAAAATGCTGAGTGATCAAGGTCTCTATGTCTCTGAGTTTCAGTCAGATCCTTAAATCCCTACTAATCCTAACACATTTTATTTTAGGTATTTACGCATCTAGAAAATTCTCCATCTTTCTAACACAGGTGCTTGTAAGGCCTGATATAATTAGCAGTAACGTTTCAAAGGTGAAGAAAGTCCACTGAACTCAAATCCATCTTCTGTAAAAGGAAAGAAAGAGAAGACCCAGGTAGCTTATGCACAATAATGGACAATATACACCAAGCCCGAGTAGAGCAAACACCAGAAGAAACGTATTCGTAGTGCAAGTAAAAAGAGTCTTCACTCAAAAGTACTGGCCAGCTAAAGGAAACATGGAATTGTGAAGGATCGTTTAAAACAGCCCAAATTGAAGTCCATTCCAAATCATAGTTGACATTATTACAGAATATAGAAAGTATGGTAAAAATTTACACATTACACATAAAGTAGTTAATGTTTTGATTTAATACTTTGCAAAAGAGATCTGCAGATGTGTTTTCAATTACGCTGGCTTCTATACCCATCTATTTTAATAATACAGGTATGGTTACATTTACCAAAAAAAAAGGAAAAAAAATCCTAGCGCATAGCTATTCAGCAATACTTTAAGGTCAGAAGATTGACCAGTACATGATGGCAACACATTTCAACATTTCATTGGTTTACTAAACTGACAAAGAACCATTTACAATTAAAAAGAAAAAAATTCTACAGACTTATTCTGACTCAGTTTCCTTTATTAACAAGCTTTTTTTTTTTAATGTTTTAATCTTCTAAGAAGCTTCCTCAGGCAGTTGGGATATCGCATGAGTTTTCAGGGTCTTTATCTAAATGCAGACTTGTTCAGCCATACATATAATAACTCACTTGGGTTTTCTTCCCATTAGTATGACCTCTTTTTTTTCCGGCTCGTTTAAGTTCAAGTTCCTTAAGCCATCCATGAGTTTCTGGCAAAGTATTTGGTCTCCACTTTGTACACCTGTTTTATTTTCCAAGGGCAATGAAATGTTCATTATATAGTAACACGCAATAAATAACTCACTGTTAACTCTAGGAGTAAGAATGGGAAGAGTGCCTATTGCATAGCAATACAGAAAAGTCAAGTGAGGCATGGGATAGGAACGGTACGTACAGCAACTCCACTTAGCGGGATTTTCCTGTTTTTTTTTTTTTCTTTCACATAATTAACACCAACAAATTCTTCCAGTGTTTATTTTTCTCTTAAAATAAAAAAAAGATTTTGCTTCTTGTCTCTCTCACTTACAAGGTAGGTGTCATGTAGAATAAGGCTTTCGGCTTTCTTTGTTTCAGATGGCAGTTTTAACAAACAACAGAAACTTCCAAAGTGTTTGAATTAGTACCGCTTTTTCAAAAAAAAAAAAAATTAACACTGATGAATCAAGGCTCTCCTATGTTTTCTTGTTATAAGCATCATCATTGTCATCATCGTCATCATTATCATTAAATTCATCATTATCAACATTATGGTTTTTGTCTTGCCACCTTTCCAAAACGTTTAGCTGCATTTGCAAGATTTTACGATCATATTAGATAGCTGTTCGATCTTGGGTGTCTTGCCGATGTAGTAGAGAATTGTTAAGGGTTCTAAATCCTGGGACACACAGCAGGGAGAAGCCGATGCCTCTGGATTTATGGTGTTATATAAGCTGAGGACCTGAAAAGACACAGGAGAGGAGAGACAGCACAGGGAAAGGCAAAAACATAAAGGCAATCCTTGGTTAAAACAAGTTAAAACAACGATTTCATGTTGTTATCCTACCAATCACAGAACTATGCAAGTCATTGAAATTACTTGGGGTTTATATTTTGTTTTATTTGTTACAGATGGATTGGCATATGTCTTCAGCAATCACCAAATTTATCCTTTTCTAACAGAAAGCCTTTGTCTTTTTCTTTGTAAAGCTTTATTTTTATTGAAAGAGGGAAGAAGCAGCAAGATCTGCTGGTTCACTTCCCAGACGCAAGTACCCACAGTAGCGGAGGAGGGGTTAGGCTGACTCTCCAAGGCAGCGACTGTGTTCAGCCCTTTCAAGAGAGTAACAGGGACTCCAGTGGGCAAGGCATCCTGTGCTGCCTCCTGCAGTGCACAAAGCCAGGACAGGATTTCAGTCACTCCAGTACTGGCTGGAGTGCCCAAGCAGCCATTCAACCCACTGTGCCACAACTCCTGACACAGAATTTTTTTTTTCCATAAATCTTATACAACTTATTCTACCTAAATGAAATTGAATAGAATCGCCCATCTAATGGATCTTCCAAGCTTTTCCAGTCTTTACTCTTGATGGGTACTTTGCTGCCCATAATTCTGAAAACCTCAGAAATTGACTACTTTTTTTTTTTTTACATTTCTTTGCTAGTGAAGTTATTTCACGAGTATATATTTTCAAATCTCATCTACATTGAGTTCCCTTGAGATGAGGGTCTCTACACAGACGTTGTATTAACTTTGCAGACCTATGATGAATCTTGTATGCACAAGATAAAGAGGCAGGTCTACAGTTAGTGCCTTATACCTTTAACCCCATTCTGTGTTAAAGGGGTGTGTGATTTTCACTCGTGAAAATATGTAGGTTCCCCACTGATGACACAGGGACATTTCCAAGGATGCTATTAATGTGCTAGTCAAATAGCAAGTGACCTCTTCCTCGAGATTCACTGCAATTTTTTCAACCTAAGACAGAAGATCTGTTCAGCACAGCAACACTGAGCACTTTATTAAGCTACCTCTAGCTTCTTGGGTAACTGTCCAAACCACATATTTGTGACCATGACAGTTATTCTTCCTCTCTCCTTGAAAAACAAGCATGGGCTCAGCCTTCACACACTCCCTCTGTGTATCAAAGAGGAGAATTAGGTTTCTACTTGGCAACAGGGTCTTGCCCACATTACAGCTACTGCCTCCGCAGCCCAGATGAAGCAGCCTGTCCAGAGAGCTCAGACAAAGGGACAGGCATGAGCAAGCTTACCTCACATGGCCAAGCACAGGGTTACCCCACGGTGCCAAAGCCTACAGGGGATGTGGGAAAACAGCTGAAAAATGGGGAGCCATATTTGTCAATTTCCATCCCAGCATATGCAGGCATTTATAGATAAATAAACTTCTTATTCCACTATCACCTGATTTTTCATAGAAACTAGAGAAGGCGGTTACAATACAGATTGTCTAAAATGATTGATCACCCCCAAACTTGTGCATTCAGCGGAATTCATTATGTGATCTCCTTGGCAGCAGATTTGTTCTCCTTCCCTGCACTGAAGGTGATTTTCAGCTGCCTGCTTGGTAGGCAGATTTACAGAGGCACAAAAAGCAGAACAGAAACTCCAACATGGAGCCGCATTTCAGAAATCAAACTTAGTAAGACAGAATCAACGGAGGCCTGTATGTAAAACAAGGTATGCATTTCAAGTCTTAGTTTGTGACTAATTTTCTTTTTCATCTTGAGCAAGTCATGGATCTGAGTTAAAAACCAAATTTCTTTAGAAAAAAAAAAAGAGTGGGTTGTATAAGATAACTTATGATATGCTGCATATATTTAAATCGTACATTATAAATCACAGAGAAGTAGGGTATGAAAAAAATATTATTCATAGAAAGTCTTCATTAATCTGTTCCGGAAGCTGTAGCATTAAATTTAAGACCTGCCTCCTCAATTAGTCCTCTATCTTCATTGGAGGAACTTTACAAGATATTCAAATTCTCATTTACCTTGGGAAATATTTTTTAGAAGATTCAGATATGCTAACAATTTTTAAAAAGTATTTATTTGGGGAGATAGAGAGGGACAGCTAATTCAGATATTAATTTTAAAATCATGTTCACAAGTATCAGCTTTTTGTGCTTCAAGTCCACCCTTGTGTTTGGCGCTACTGTTTTACTTATTTTTTACTGTTATTATTATTTTTATGATACAGTTTTATAGCTACAGGGATTCCCCTACTTCAACTCCCCTTCCTTTTAAAGATTATTTATAATATATAGACATTCCATTGCACTAATAATAAATTGAGAATTAGATAGGTTAAATGACTCTCTAATTGCCATACACAAACAACTTTGTATGCCAAAACACCTACTGAGCCCTAATGTTCATTGCAATATGGCCACCATGATGGCAGTGAAAATCACTCCTTTTGTTGATGTAGACCTAAACCCCTACCCTTCACATCTCAGTAATGTGTGTATGACAGATATATTCAAATTTTGGTTTGGGCTACTTATTTATGCTTATAGCTGGTAGCTATGAATATTTAAAAAAAATTTCAATAAAAGTTTCTTCAAGATGCTTCTAATCCAATTAGAAAGATGGGACTAGTTTGAAATGGATTAGTACTGCTTTCTGATTTCATTCATGACCTACTTCTTTTTTTTTCATCTAAAAAGGATTTCTGGAGCATCCACTGTGGCACATCAGGTTAAGCTACTATTTGGAATGCTTACATTTCATGTTGGAGTGCTGGTTCGAATACCGAATTTTCTGTTTCTGATCCAGCTTCTTGAAAATGTATCCAGAGAGATAGCAGATGCTGACTCAAGTACTTGGTCCCCTGCCACCCAAAAGACATCAGGATGGAGCTCTAACCCCTGAGTTTTGTGGGTATTTGGGGAGTGAACCATAAGATGTAAGCTCTCGCTCTCTCTTTCTCTCTCTTTCTCATTCATTCTGGCAGCATATGTATGAAGATCTCTTGCTCTCAACCTAACTCTATCATTCTCTCACCCTACCTTTCAAACAAATGAAAATGAACAGAACAAAAATCTTTTAAAAGAGATAATGGGATTTATCCAGTACCCAGAGATGTGTGAAAACTGTAAGAGCACTAAGCGAATAGCTCATTCAGAAGATTTACATTGGTACCCCAAGGACAAAAGAGACAAGTTGGTCAAACACTTACCCTACTGTGCTGAGTATCTGAACTCCATAAATATGGACATGCCCCGGCACAGAAGTTGGCATTGTACCCTTTGGGTTCATGTATCCATTTCCACCCGAGATCCCTCTTGAAGTCAATGTAAAGTGGGCGTAGGCAACAATTATCCTGTACATTTCTGTTAAAAGAAAGAGCAGTGGGGATGTTAAACTGATTCCTTTCTCCCGCTCTACCCATGCCTTATCCCAAACAAGAAAAACAGCACATTCATTCATTTGAAAAACCTTCAATGGGACATTATCATGAGCCAAATTTTAATGGTTATAATACAATCTCAAGTGACATTCATGAGGTGATGTGATTTGCTGGACTACTCTCCCTTCGGAATTCTATATCCTGACTCCCCGGTCTTTGGCCTAGAAAACCTCAACCTTCAAATGACTAGACGTAAAGACTAGACCAAGACCTTCTGAAATGACATTGGGTAGTTCTGCCAACTGCCCTTTCAAATAGGAAATGAATTAAGAGCAACAGCTGTTTTTCAATAAAAATATACCCCTTAGATTGCAAATGAAAAGTTAAAGGTAAACTCTCTTGACATGAAATTTGGATTTATATTAAAGTGCAAGTTGTAATAGCTGTGAGCTAGTTCATGCCATTGTGTTAGCCACAAATGTGTATGTGTCCTCATAAAGAGCTACTTAAAGAAATGTTTAGAAGACTGCAGCAAGAACTCTGTAATGAATTTTAAAATTCTTTTCCAAATTTCCCAGGCTCCCACGAGTGGCTGGGGTAAAAACTGAGAGCTGAGAACTCAATCCATAACTTCCATGTAGGTGGCAGGACTCCAGTGACTTGAGCCTGCACTGTGGACTCTCAGGGATATCCCCACGGTACACGCTAGCAGGAAGCGGGGGTCTGCGACGGACTCAGGCACTCTGGTAGGGAATCTGAACACTTCAACCACAAGGCCAAATGCTGCTCCCATTTATTTTCTGGCACACTAATTCACTTTGAGTAGCATATGGCTAGGAATAGGTCTAAAAGAAAGAAAAAGTTGCTTGTTCAAAAATGTTAGTAGCAATTTTATGCATTTTTAGCCTATCAACTGAGAAATGGATGAATAATTTTGATCTATCAGTACAGCTATCAATTACTGCTATATAACCAACAACTAATATTGGTAATACATAAAGTTATATGCAAAGCATTTTAAATTAAGACCAAAATGTTCATTAGTACATAAATCATTACATTGATTTCCCAATGGAAAATTTAGATTTCCCTATTGAAATGAATCAGAAGACATGTAATTGCAATTTAATATTCTCTGCTAGATGTTGATATGTACAATTAAAAGTAAAGGATTAATTGATGAAGTGTTTTGTTGGAAGAAAAAATAGATTCCTTATTTCATCCCATGATCCTAAATCTACGAAGAAACCAGAGACCAAGAAAAAAGAAATCTTGCTGAGTAGAAGCACTGGCTCCATCACCAAAAAGGCCACTTTTACATGGCTTCTGACACTTGGAGAACTTCAATAGTAAGGATGCTTCACTGCCCTGAATTTGCCAGTTAAAAGAGGCCACCTTTATGAAATTTCATAAGAAGCCACAGAGCATAGCCATGGAATAAATTCTTAGAATGAGATATAACTTGTCACTCTGTTCCTTTACTTCTCTCGTGCTCTGTAGATATGACAAGAAAAGCAATGGTCCATCATCAACTACTGTTACTGAGAAGGAGATGTGACCACAGGCATGGCACCAGGAGGGTGACGGCTCCTAGCGTGGTGGCTCTTCCCTAATTACAGATACAATCCACTGAACTCATATTTGCATTGGGGGTTAGAGAGCTTCTTTTCTTTATCAACAATGAAGCAGCTCACATGAATTTGAGGAAATATTTAGGGGCTGGTTTTCACTCTCTGCTCTTCCTACATTGTTAGAGAGCTAATGAATACAACACAAAAAGAGCAATTGTAAGACACTGGAAAGAATGTTATCAGAGATAAGAATTATAACAGATGATATCTGGCCTTAAGCAAAAAGTTCAATACAGGTCAATATGTAGCAGGAGAAAAGGCAATTGAACAGTTAACAGGTGCAATCACTTGGTTTGATTTTAATTTCCTTTACCTAAAGCAATAGGCTGCATCCAGAGCACGCTTCTTCCGCCGGTTGGACTGTTGTGACTCAAGTCTGTAGGAGGGCAATAACATTAGCAGGAGATGTGGGGTCTTCCCACTGTTTTTTTTCCTAGTGGACTTTATAGTTTTCTGATCACCACTGGTATATGTGGAGGTGCCATCAATACCTTGAAAAAATGCATTTGGGTAATAAACATTTAGCTTTACCTTAATCAAATATAGTCAACTGTATAAAATACATATTTATTTATTTTCTACTTTGCAGATTGTCACAAACAGTAGTGATGACCACCATGGCAACAACACTTCACTAAAGTCATTCTGCAAGGACGCACATATAGTATGACAGTACTACCACAGGTGATAACTAACACTTCTGCAAGGGACTCCTATCCGAGGGCGGTTCAGTGTCAATGGCAGGGCTGTTGGGATGAAAGTCATCACAGAAGAACTCTGCCCTTGTGACTCAAGGGCAATGTAAGTGGTTTATTTTAGTCAGCCCTCAGTTTACACTGTGTTCAAACCCTCAACAACTTTCACACACAGCCATAGACCAAGCCTTGTCACCCACGGGTTCACACTGTTCCTGAGACCAACACTCAAAAGACTATTCGAATGAACATAAACTAAGACTTAGTTAAATCACAGTGAATTAAGTTCAAGTGAAACAGAAGTTCACCCTTGGCTAATGCTATTTTGGGAAGCTGTGAAGAAAGGGCTTTTTCATTTATTTTATGGCATCCTGATTCCATCTGAGATTTTAGAAACTTGAGCTCCCCAAAGCATGCTCAAGAGACTGCCAGTTTAAGCATTTAATCTCTGCACTCTGGAGAATCATGACTAGGTTGGAAACTGAAATAAATCTCTATTCTGCTGGGAGTATTTTTCCATGAGCAAGGGCCACTGTAGCTTTTTCAATGTGAATGGAAGTCATGGGTGATATGAGCAGGGAAGGGAAACCAGCTTGCTTTCTGGGCAGTATGGGCTAAGAGGTCACCAGCTCATGGGCACAGCTTTCCTGCACACTTCTCAATGTCTAGTAACTCATTATTGAATACATGAAACGGCTTAAACCCTTGGTGTCTTGTCACAGTTGCTGGCTTTTTGGGCTGATTCACTCAAAGATGAGCACTCCGACAACTGAAACCTTGTTAGGTATTTGGAGAAAATTAAAGAAAATTGTGGAGTTCTGATACATGGCACAAACAGTCTCCCTTCTCCCACTGAGCACAGTTGTGAGTTCTTGAAATCTGGTTGAAATAATTACCAATGGATTCTTCTTTCATATCAGTAGGCATAGAAAACTAGTTTGCTTAAAGAATAAAGTGATGACAGCCTATTTTATAGTTTGGAGGGTTAATGAATTTGAGTTAGTGCTGACCAAGTCATCACTGATCATTGAACAGCAAAAACCAGGAAAAGCAACCCCCCAATCCAAACCTTTTCTATCTTTTCATATCTTTCTCCAACTATATTGTGACCCAAATGCATGAGATGCCCCATAGCTCACCAAGCAATCACATTCATATGCAAATCGGTCTATCTTCCCATAATGTTTTCAACATAGGTCTTTCCCACCCTTCTGTTTGATCCAGTTTCAGTTACCTGCAAATCTTGCTTCTAGTTCTTCACTTTTATTTGGGATGATGTAATTATTAGATGGTACAAAAGTGCAGCAGGGACAGTGTAAACTTATTTTAAATCCCAGATTCCTGTCTGGAAAACATGAAGTCAAAGAGGTCATTTGTATGTGTGTATACGTCCTTAAATCTGCACTCAACTTATAGTAACTTAGGGCTCCCAACTTTCTAGAGAGAAGAGAGAGTGGTTTGTGACCTTTATGGTGAAGCCATTCATGAACGGCGTCAGTTACGTCGAAGGAGAGCCATTCGCCCTCTGCTCTCGTTTTCACCACTTTGCTATCAATGTAGCGCTGGGTTGGAGATGTTAAATCTTTGGATTTGAGAATCTAGGAAGATAAAGAGACAAAAAGCTCAGTTGGCACAAAAACAGCAAGACTAAATCAAAACCATTAACATTATCCCCATTCATTATCTGAATTTAGCTCCAGTTTTATACGCCCATCTATTGTCATCTCAATGGCAGGGCAACATGCGTAAAAACACAATATCAGGCCATCTGCCATGAAAAATACTGCTACTGAATCAGTTGCATGTTATGATAAACGTGGCAGGAATCATAAAGCTAAAAGAAAGTGACAGTAATTATTTTATTTTGCTGACATAAGCTTTGCAAGATTTCAGCAATAAATTCTATGCTATTAATTTAATGGTTTTTGTTGCTCTGTCTCCCTGCTTCTTTAATTTGGAGATCTGGGATGAGAGAGGGACAAGGGTAGAGACCCAGTTCAAAGGACCCATGTTCTCCCTCCAAAGGCCCAGAATTATACATTTCTTTCTAACAGACAAAGGTCCTAATCTCAGTTCCTAAATCCACTGCAACGAAAATGTGTGTCATGCCTTAGTTTTTGAGGTTAGTCTCTTGCTGGGATTTTTACTCTCATGTGACACGCTGTGATTTATAAAAATATTCCATATCCTGCAGGCTAAGAATGAAGCTGGGCATGAGCAGTTTGGCACAGAGTGTAGAAAGCCTTGTGCAAGCAAGCCAGCCTCAGCATGGAGACTTTAGAAAGATGCATCTAATTCAAACATGGGAACATAAATTGCAGCACATTTTTTGGGGGGAGGGGAGGGTCCTATAGGAAGTGGACATTTTCAGTGGTATTTAAAAGTCAAACTTGAAATAAAAATGTTGTAACTGGTTTTTAACCATAAAAGGGGACAGAAAAACGTTTTTATCAACCAGACCACGGTCCCAAGTCTCCTAGAGGTATAGTAAATCCCATCCAAACTGGATAGCTTTGTATTTCTCATTTCTTAGGCACTTGAGCTCTGTCGTTTCCAGCTATCCTTCCTGATAGTCAGTCTAACTTTTCTGTGGTCATTTCATATATTGCAATTTAGTCACTCAAGCAAGTTAATAAGCTTCTCCAGGCCAACACCATGTCTTCCATTTGACACCATTTCAAAGCACAGCATTCAACTGAATCAACAGTCACCATTAACTGTGACTATTACTATTACTGTATGCCTAGATTTACTTTCTCTAAATCTTACAAAGCAAAAACACAATGTCTTCTAATTATTTCAAAGTGCTCTTTCCTTTCACCTGTGTACATGACATGGCACAGATAATTTGTGAACAGGTGCTTCCTGGAATGTTTGGCAGTATAGACCTTGTTATGGATTGAACAGTATAGAAATAGAAAGAAATTCATGTTAATGATTGAACAGTATAGAAAAAGAAAGAAATTCATGTAACTGGACTCTTGGTGCCCTCATGAATTTTAGATAAACACAGGTATACAGCTCTGCCCCTATAGGACAATAAACTCCACTAAATAAAGACAATCCCAAGATAGTCATGACGGAAAGATGCTTTTTGTGAGATACAAGAAGCACAGTAAAAAGAAGCGCAGTAGCCTGGTGGCTGAGGTCCTCGCCTTGAACGCGCCAAGATCCCGTATGGCCTCTGGTTCTAATCCCAGCAGCCCCACTTCCCACCCACCTCCCTGCTTGTGGCTTGGGAAATTAGTTGAGGACAGCCCAAAGCCTTGGACTCTGCACCAGCGTGAGAGACCCATAAGAAGCTCCTGGCTCCTGGCTTAGGATCAGAGCAGCTTCAGCCATTGCAGCGGCTTGGGGAATGATTAATGGACAGAGCATCTTCCTCTCTGTGTCTCCTCTCTGTATATCTAACTTTCCAATAGAAATGAATAAACCTTAAAAAAAAAAAAGAGCAGGCAATCCTCTAGGAATTAAACCTTTTCTTGAAAATATTCCCAGTTGGGCAAATAAGACACCACTTACTCAATTCAGCATAAATGATACAATTAACCTAAGATCAGATAGCAATGACTTAAAAATCTGATCTTTCTCATTGGCTAAGTTAGGATTATACTCACAAATAATTTTTTTTTTGTCTTTAAGTTCTTGGCCTAACTTATCTCCCAAAGTGCTATTCCATAATGATCTGCACATTTGCCATGCTTCTAATTGTCACAGCATATGTTATTCATCTTCAGATAGCTAACACTGACAGGTACCACCTAGAACAAACATTGCTTCCATTATTAAATGAATTATTTGTGACATATGTATAACATATACATATATATCCATTCTCATTGAAGACAATTAAAAAACATGGTTTTCTTAGCCAAAAAAACATTCACTGGTTAAAGCATGGAAATCCATTCATGATACAAATTCAGAATACCTTTCTTTAAAAGGCGGAAGTTAAAGGGAAGCAAAGAGCTTCAAGAACCTTTCCCTTTAAATCTCAATATTGTCCTTCTCAGAACACATGACCGATAGATGCCATCATACTCTCACATGAACCAAAGCTCTGGATCACATCAAATTCAATTTATTAGAGACAGAGAGCTCTTCCATCTATATGTGCATGCCTCAAATGCCTGCATCAACATGGGTGTGCCAGGCAAAAACCCAAACCTGGAATTTAGTCTGGCTTTCCCACATGCATGAAAGAGACCCGAGTGCTTGAGTTATCACCAAGTGCCTCCCAGGGTGGGCAGCAGGATACTGGATTGGAAGTGCAGCTGCGAACCAAACCCAGGAACTCCGATTGGGGTTAAGCCCTTTGACCCACCCTAGCAAGTGTCTGCCTCTCCTCTAATGTTTTTTTTTTTTTTTTGCTTATGTTAATTTACTAGTTTAAGAGTCAAGAAAAAATGATATTTAAACAACTCAAAAAAGAGAGTTGGCTACCTACTTCTACAACAGGGACGTGACATTGGGCTTGTGGGTTTGTCGTCTCAATTCCAAAGACTTCTTAAATCTACCTGTTGTAATTTGATACCGTTCTTCTTACCCAGTCCTCAGTGAAAACAGCTGCTTTCCAAAAGGAGGCTATTATTATGTCCCCCTCAGCATGCTTACTTTCTCTCTCTAAGTTAAACAAACCGAGTTTCTTCAGACTACACACTTAGAGGAACAATTGCCTAAACCCTTCATCATTTGGGTTTCTAGCAAAGATGAATGGAGAGGTGTATTAAAATATTCCTCTTCGGACCCAGTGCAATAGCCTAGCAGCTAAAGTTCTTGCCTTGCACAACCCAAGATTCCATATGCACACCATTAATACCTTCTTAAATTCCAGAGTCTGGACCAAAAAAAAAGTGACCAGATTAGTCAATTTTTCATTCTGTTTAAAAAGCCTTTGCTGTCCTTCTTGAATCGCTATGGATGTTAACAGCACAAACATGTAGCTATGATCAGCTCCATTTGACATTTGCTCCTAAATTTTTAAATATGTTTTATACAAAGATAATTTAATTTTAGCATCTATTGAAGCTTTCTTCTTAACTGGTCTCTGCCTCAACAATTAACAGATATCATTTATTCCCAGTTTGTAATTCATATTGGTAGAGTGACCACAGCACACTAGGGTTCCCTGCTGGAAAATCTCTCCAAGTACTTCCGGTCTTAACAATTGAGTTGCAGGCTTAATAAATAACAATTGCACATGTTCCTAAATATGCTAATTACACTTGGATTTGTTGAAATTATGCAACTGACATATTTAGAAATGTTTACAAATGACAAACCGTAGGACCAAATGTAAAGATAGTTGTTTGTGAAAAAAAAAAAAAAGCCAAGTTGGATATCTTAGAAAGACTTCATGGAAACAAACTGCTTAAAGGTTAAAAAAAAATGAGTTTTGGTAAATAACTCCTGAATAGGAAATGTGTGTAACTATCATATGGATCAGAAATTCTATCAGAAATAATATATTCAAAAGAACTGAAAGCAAAGACTCAAACAGAGCATCCCAATGTCAATAGCAGCATTATCCAAAATGGCTAAAAAGTAAGGGGGTAGAGACAGCATCCATCAACAATAGATGAATGGATAAACAAAAAGTTAGTTTATGCACACCTAACGTTTTACACATATTATTTACACATATACATATTATTCAACCATAAAAGGAATGAAATTCTGACACACACTGAAACATTCATCTGAAACGCGGATGGATCTTGTTAACAATGTGCCAAGTGAGTAAACCAAACCAAAAAAAAAAAAAAAGGAAAAATATTGTAGTTGTCTCCTACTTATATTTTACCCACAGAGACATCTCAATGAAACTTCCATTAACTTATTGACATACACAGTACAGGCAATATATGCAAAATACTCACAGGTCACTACCAGCAAGAATCTAATCTTATTACTGAATTGTTATGCCCTATACCAAAGGATTAATTCATTGCTCTGCCACTGGAAATCAGCCAACTAGGGTTTGGATGGATAGAGGCACAAGTCACTCTATTTTACCAACAATTTTTATGGGAGCATTAAAGTAGAAGACTAGAGGCAAAGCTATAGCCTGGGAAAAATCTTAGTCTTAAAGGAATAATGCTGTAAATCAACTCAGGATTTGGCTGACACGCTAGGAGCAATGTCCCTTACACTCCTATGAGACATTGAAAAAGTTGTAAGAAGGCACTGGGAATTCAGTGTTGCTTTCCATATTTAGACAGCATGAGTTCCAAGAGGCCCAGGCAATCAGACTTCAAGAGAGCAAAGGAAATTTAACAGGAGGGCCATAGAGTAAAACTGACACTAGGTTAAACAGTGTTAGCTCATCTTGTTTTTTCAATGTCTTTAAAGTTTCTCATGTTTTAAATGTATTGAATGTTTACAAGTGTTTGGAAAGACTCATATGAAGTGATTAACAGATTCTGAATTGGACATTCACTCTGCTGGCTACAACCATGATTTTTTCCTCACTCAGTCTGACCCTGAGTTACTAACTTTAGTCAAATGAAATACGCGAGTTGGAAAAGCACTCAGAGACGATCTGCTCCAATCCAAATGAATTCAATCTCTACCATCTCTTTGTCTAAAGACATAACAG